CTACACTCTACTTTCTCCTGATACACTTCATGGTTTCCAATTCGTTCTTCATCATCCTGCGGCTGCATAGAAGCACCTCCTGTTCCCTACGCATGCGAGCAGACGCCGGGGAAATGTCGAGCAGACACGATGCAGATAAATACATGTGTAGAGGGTAATTGGCCTTCCTATTGGCTAAGAGGCCTTGTAGCCTTGGCAGTGCTGAAAGGAACGTATGAGATCGAGTATAGGTTGCACCCCATAGAGTTCCGAAAGCTTAAATTTGTCCGGTAACATGAATACCGCTCTCCAACTCTGCTCAAAAGCGAAATTCGAGGTTAGCTAGCGTTCATATAGACGGCGATTTTGAAATTGGCATTTGGAGGTACTTATAAAAATTTAGACGCAAGCGTTTATATCAAAGTGACAGGATAGGAACGCAAGAAACAATATAGGCGTTGGCTTATTATCTGGTCTCTAGTCACGACGCGGTACATTGTTTCCTTCAGTGCGCAACAGATAATTACAGGCTCTTCATTACCAAACAGTCTCAGTTTCGGTCTGAGAGAGCTCCGAAAACGACAAGCTGCCGGGTGCAACCAACAACATCTAGCTCGTGCAACGTTCGACACGTCAGCACACAAAACTGCGACGCACTTTCAAATCGTCCGCATCAAGAAGTCCGTTTGAACAGAAAACAGGACAACAGTGTCACCAAACAAAACCTTTAACGCGTGCGCCACGGCCACGAACTCGCTAGCAGAGTCTGCTGGAGGCGGGAGCAAACGTGGCAAAAAAAAAAAAATGGTGGCCATGACGTCATCATAACTTCTATTGTCTGCAGCTTTCAGGTGAGGGAAGTCGTGGGGTTAGCGTGGGTCACCACGTAGAGTTTCCTAAACTACGTTGGGCGAACTCTGGCCCAGTGATAGTTAGAAAGATTATGAGAATGCATTAACGGTGTTTACATCAAGTAGATCACATGAATAGCAGTTTGAAAAGTACAGTAATATCTTTGTTTGGCATTGCTTTGACATTCTCTGCTGTTCATTACTCACCACGTCACAGTCGATAGTGCATGATAGGGATAGTTCACGGGACAGGGGCCCTTGATATACCATGCCTACTTAAGAAAAGCGCATTTTTGTATCGTGTTTTCCCTGATGAAGGCCTGTCCGCGGCTGAAATGTAGGAAAAATAAAGAGTTTCCACTTCTTGGTATATATATATATATATATATATATATATATATATATATATATATATATATGTATGAAAATGGCAACGTCCTGTAAGTGTACTGTATGGTTCCCCGAAACACTATGAGGACGCAACCTGTATGTCTCCCAACGGTCACCATTTGGTCGCCGCTTTTATGTCGCCTCGAAGTGTCGGTCCTGTATGTGTCTTATATGTAGCCACCATCAATGCAGACCAGAAGTAGGCCCATTGCACTGTCTGCATGGTGCGGCATAATACGGCTGCTGTAATTGGCTTGTACATGAACATGCATACAAAACTCTGCAAAATTATTGATTTATTATGATTTTGTACTACGGTGTAGAGCATTTTACAGGCAATATTCAAACAGGTAATTTACATCTGTCGGTGGCTGAAGAAATGTAAGATTAAGAGGTGAGCATTGACCCCATGAAGCTTGAACACATCATTAATATTTTTAAAAGTCAGCATCTTTCTATGAATGAAGACTACATTAATTTCTTAAAAACACACTCATCACGACAGTAATTTTTTACGACAAGGCAAGTTCCAAGGCATTCGAAACACTATGACCTATTTAGATAAGCTTTGAAAATTCAAATTACTCATCTGATGTACGATATGCAAAGGGCATCACAGTAACCTGTTCGGTTTTATAGGTTAATAACAAATGTACGTAGCCTTAAAAAGGTATAAAAAAGGAACAATCATAACTTCACAGCTAACTTAGAATACACGCAAGATTAATTAAATGTTGCAAAAAATTAGGAATGTGGTAAACAACATCAGGACACACTACCCAGAGCTGCTGAAAAATGCATGCATACTAAAATAAACATTGCAGTAAATTAGAAATGCGACAGACACAACATCAGTGAACTAGCAGAGATGCCTAATTGGCGCCAAGCTGCCGTACATAGCATGCATCATTGGAAGCAAGACCACAGCCCACAACTTGTATACACTCCACGTAACCCTTGACCGCTGAACTGAAGGCCACGAAATCAAACTATGGCTGCGCTGGCCGCATTTTTTTTTTCAGTGAAGGATTGCTGAGACCCATCTGTTTGAGGTGGGTGTATTTTAAAGGACCGCGTGTGGTCAAAATTTCTGAAGCTCTTCACTAAGGCGTCCCTGATAATCATATCGTGATTTTAACACGTTAAAATGGGCAAATGTTATTCGCATTACACGTCACACAAAGTAAAGCAAGGAGATATCGTTATGCAGTTAAAAAAAAATGTCACCATTCACTCCGCAGTTCATGAACTCAAGTCGCAATATTCCAGAATGCCATCTATCAGTTATCATTGACAATGTTAAACATGTACACTGAAATGTCACACATGGTTAGGCATTGGCAAAGCTAGGTATGGGCAAGTATGCCAGTAGGAAATCACTTGATTGCACTTATGAAGAGAACTTCCAGGAGACAATGAGATAACTAAGGTTACAAAAACGTAATAAAATAAAATATACGGTGAATATTGCAATAGAAATAATATCATTAACGTGCTACTGTTTTATCATAACAGAAAAAAAGTTTTAATAGATAATTGCACATAGTACCTCAAAACATAACATGCGAGTCTGGATCGCAACTCACTCGGTATATTTTGAAAAACAAAACAAATAGGCAATAAGAGGCTAATCAAGCAACACTGACACATTGAGAGATGTGCTTTGTATTTGCGTTAAAACTCAGCCCTAGGAACAGAGAAAACACCTTTGCAGATAAGTTGTGTGTTCAGGGAGACACAGAGTAAGAAAATAATGCTGTCAGCTGCCCAACCAACTAACAATATTAAAAATTTAAATTTTAGTAACTGCAGTTAGCGAGCATGTCTGCATTAAAAAGTTGGAGGCAGTCGTGTTTCTATGCAGTCACACTAGGAAAAATTCTTTGAATATGTTTATGCTCCTAGATATCTCGCTCCGAAGTTTAATTTTGCTTTTCATGATTACGCATGCAAGATTGTGAGGATCAGCAAAATATTACTCCCTGGTGGGACGAGCAGTCAGTTCTTGCTATCGCCAGTCAATGGTGAAAGGGTAACCATTATAATTATGCCCATGATTTTGACCCTTGGTCAGAGATTGAATGCATAATGATTAAATGCATATTTATGATAAAAAGTGGCGCTCAGGCATGGGCGCAGGTTAGTCGAACGAAGGGAAAGAAGAAGTGGGAGAAAAAGAATAGCTGGCCTGCTGGAAGGGCGTTGTCTTTGTCTCATTTTATTACTATATATATATATATATATATATATATATATATATATATATATATATATATATATATATATATATATATATATATATATATATATACACACTTGCCACACGATTAGTTAATTTGGTGCCCTGATTTTTTTTTCTAACACTTTCGCTTTGTATGCATCGGACAATTTCAATGACAATAGCAGAAAAGGCTAGGCAAATGTGGTGTAACTATATCATGACGTCTTTATCAAATAATTTGGCGTTCATGGGCAGTTTGGTCGTTAAAGAACAACTACGTTACTAATAATCCGTGGTCTCCGCATACATTAAGGGCAGACGTTTGCGCAGTACCGGGTCTATTTCGTGAGTCTTCGGTCAGCAGTCTACTGACGCCGGTTGTTTACTACCCGTCGCTAGCCGCGAACACAGGCTGTCGAGGACAGGAATGCAGCTAGGCGCACTGTTTGCGCCGTCGGAATGTGGGGGTGTATCAGTCGTGCTTACGCAAGCGTGACCGCGTGCGTCGGAGTGTACGAAAAGTGGCGACGATGCGTTTCCGACGCTTCCACTGCGCACGTCGCCTTCCGCGTCTGTTTCTTGGCGCTGCATGCTCGAAGACCGCGGACGTATCGCTTTCTCGGCGGTTGCTCCATTACCGGGATTGTCCTGCGGTAAGCGTTTCTACCGCCGCGCATATCTCCCCGAGGTGCGAAGGGTGCACCGATGGTCGCCACTCCTGAACGCGTACACACGTGCGCCTTCCGCGCGGTTTTTCCCGTTCCAGTACTCGGCGGCCGGAACGCACTCGCGGCCCCCGGTCAACGCGTGGAGCAACAGCCGTCCAAGTCTGCGCCGCCCAGTTCCTTGAGCGGGTGCGCAATCTGACCGGGCACGTGACCCTCGCCGCGGCCAATTTCCAGGCCCACAGAGGACGCTGCCAGCGTTGTCACGCATGAAAGGACGCGCGCTCGCTGCACGAACCACCAGTCGTCGCCATCGGTACCCTGCTGCCGGCATGCGCAGATCAGGCCACTGTAACTACGCCCAGTTGTTCAGGTCACCGATAAAAGAGCCGGTGTAGCGTAAAAGCATTACGAAAAGGCGATGGAAGAAGCGTCACGGCTTACGACAGTAATGCATTCCCGACACGAGTGGCAAAAACGCCTGCGCGCTGCGTCGTGAAGCGAGGCCTTCCCTAAAGAGCTCGCGTGATGTAGACACGCCACTGTGTACGCCGAAAACCTTCTCGTGCTGACGTACGGAGCTCTGAAACGTGTTGCGATTGGCGGTGCTAATTGGCTTCTTTGCGTAATTGCCTCTTCTAAGGAAACTAACCGCCTACAGCTGGGAAAAAGTGAGAACGATGGTCGCCAGAATGCATCTTTAAATTTGAAACGTGGACTTGGATAGACGTACTTTTTCACACCACCGTCATCGTCAGTAACATGTTTGGGTTGCGCCAACATGACTTAGCCTTACCGTTTGCACTTACAATGTGCACATGAGGGGCCTTGCGCGGGCCACTCCAGAATAAATAAAGCTATTAACGCAGCTCCCTGTTGTCCGCCCCTTTGCAGAACAGCGTGGTACAGTGCGGACGCGAGACCTGCCCCCTGCCGAGAGGCTGCTACTTCCTGCAGGAGTCCAAGGGAAACAAGTGCTGCGACGTCTGCAAAGGTAACGCGCTACCGCGGCACGCGCACATTCTATATGGCGTTGGAGGCGATGAACGGCACCACGCTGCGCATGTATAGCCTTGCTTATTCGCTACTCAGCTCGAACTGCAATGAGCCGGATGGCTGAGCGCGTGCACGTTGTAGAGCTGTACAGAGGCAACCGTTTAGCTCGGTGTACAGAGATCTGCCAATCTGGGCATACTCTCTATTGCGGATACCCCGCCGCGATGGTCTAGTGGCTAAGGTACTCGACTGCTGACCTGAAGGTCATGGGATCAAATCCCGGCTGCATTTCAGATGGAGGCGGAAATGTTGTTGGCCTGTGTGCTCAGATTTGGGTGCACGTTAAAGAGCCCCAGGTGGTCGAAATTTCCGCAGCCCTCCACTACGGCGTCTCTCATAATCATATGGTGGTTTTGGGACGGTAAACCCCACACATCAACCAAATCATCTCCATTGCGGGTGCACTCATTACATAAAATTGCGTGCAGTGCCACGCCATTTGCACATAATAAGTGGTTACAAAGAACTTCGGCCCGATGAAAAGCAATTCTGCACTGCAGTACTGAGACAATGCTATGACGACAGCCCCTTCGAGGTGGCAGTTATACGTTCTGCGCAGCGCAGTTTATATAAATGCATACACAACAGTTATTGGTATTTTTGTATAGCGTACGCGTGTTGTCAGTGACCTGAAAAATATGACTATTGGACCTTACAGTGATCTGTCCGCTCGACTTCGTTTACAGGCTGCTTCTACAAGGGTCGCCTCTACGCCAGCTCGGAGGAATGGACTGATCCCCACGATCCGTGCCGTCGATTCTTCTGTCAGGTGAGGCTCCATCCTCGCACACCAACCACATCCGAACGCTTAGTAGGAGGGAGGTGAGAGCTAACTAAAGGCAGCTCATGATCGCTATATTAATATGCGAAAAAAAACATGTCTGTCGTCATTCAGTATAACTACCGCAAGGTATGTGCATTGCAGTATTAAATAGTGGCGTGTTATTCATATATCTTCCCTCGTGTCATGTTTCGCTGGTGTAAAAGAAACAAAAAAAACTATATGGTACATTTCAGCATCCTGAAGTCTTAGCCGTTAAGAGAAAAGAGTAATGCGAATGTTAAGCACTTTCAACAGAACAAAACCGTCCGTATATATGCAACAATAAGAATGCACAGCAATACGAGATTGATCTTTTATTTTTATTTTGTGCCCGCGCACATGGAGAATAAATGAAGGATGGGAGATCATTTACATTATTACATTAGGCTACTCTTTGCACGCGAGGTTGGTGAAAGGATGGACAGTACATCGACATGGTATATAAAGTGACTCTTCGTTAAGCCTCAAAGAGCTTTTTCTCTGGACATAGGACCCATCGCCTCCGAAAAGCATTACTTGCAGCTGCCCAAGAGGAATTAAGTTTCAAATGTCGTGTTCTGATTTGTCGTTTGTAATGGCGGATTACTTGGCCATTAGTTCGAATGTAAACCGCATGACTGAGGTTCGTACTGCTATCTTTTCCAGCTGGTCCACATGCATAAAAACGAAAATGGTGTGCTTTGCACACCGTTAGATCCTCTATAGCATCTTTCTGATTAAGTAAACGACTGTGAAATAAAAATAATGACGCATATCAGCGAAAACAGGTTAGTAATTTTCTGGAAGGCTAATGATATGTACAAAGTTCAAAACGAGCCTACTTGCAAAGCACAGCAGTGATGGGTAGCGAACAGATTATATCACAAATCGTAATAGAAAGTATATGATTTCATTAAGGCACAATTTTTGGTGACATAAAAAAAAATCCACCATATACCACAACACCACTTCAATATTTCCGCAATAGCGTCTGCACATGAAATTCCATGGACGCGTATGATGACACTGTTCAAATACAGTGGGCGATAGCACCAAGGTCTTCGTTCGACTGCTGCACTGTCGGCGGCTTTCACTGATGTTCCTAGCGCCACAGTGCACATACGTTGTGCAGGTTACCATATTTACGAAAATGGTCAACCAGTAATTAAGAAGTCCTTAAGGAACAAGGCCTTCGTGAATTCAACACATCCTCCCCCCCCCCCCTCTCTTTTTTCTCATCTTCTTCAGCGTTTTCTTTAGGTCACGTTGCAGGTAGTTTGACAGGACGCGCAACATGAAACCCTTTACTGTCCCCAGTATTTTAACAGCTTTTCTTTGGTGAGGAGTACCGACATCGTACAAACTGTGACCATCTCGGGGTGCTTGAAGCAGCGCTACAGGCACAATTGAGAGAGATAAAGAATGCAAGCTAACACTTCAATGACAACGCCGACACTGCTTGTATACCGCACCTGTCACGGGATTCCCTGCCCTGCGCGTCGAGATTGTAGGGTCCTTCAAAGTGCTGCGTCATGGAAAGTGCCGTACCTGTAAAGAAAAAAGAAAATCGCGCTACCGCGATAAGCGGACGAGGAATGACGGCCGGCGAAAAAAAGGTACAAGCAGCGACAACAGTCGTCCGTCGACTTTCTCTTTTCGGAGAGGCAAAGTGCCGGGCCGGCGAAACGAGAAGCGCGGATTTCGGGCGAGGAGGAGGCCACCTTTCCGTCGGCCACCGCGAAGACGAGAAAGTCCATCTCCCCTGCTGCCGATGTGTAGCGGCCACTACAAAAAGCCCGCCCGGCCCGGCCGGGACCCCAGACGGGTGTGTCGAAAACATTCCCCGCACTCACGGAATGCTTAAAGGAAGAGACAGTATCGTATGGAGTGTCTCGTTAGCATGCGTGCCGTGTCGGCCAAACTGGACGAAGCCGCGTGGCGGCGGCGATGGTCCACTTGGCGGGGAAACCACGCTCCGCAAGGTCGCCGCAAGACGATGAAGGGAAGGGGGGCGAGCGTGGCGCGCGCTTGCGACCGATATCGCGTCGTATCGCAGTTTCATTGCCCTAATTGCCGCATTATATGGGCTTTTTAAGCCGGTGATCTCGAACGAAAATATATATTTATATACACGTACAAGAGGTGTTTTTCGGAGCGTGTGCGAGAACCGCGCGAGATTGCTATCGCTGTGCGGCGAAAGAAGGGAGGCACGGAATGCCCTCGCGTGTTTCGGATACAGCGCACACGGCGGCAGCGAAAGAAGCGGTGGAGGGTAAAGCACTCGTCGTCCGAGAGACATTCTCCGCTCTTTTGAGGGCATCTCCCCACCTCCGCTAACACGGCGCGGGGTTCTCCAGGGTGGTGCGAAACTGAGTTCGAGGGCTTGCGATCACTTCGTATTACCGTTGAATTCTTGTGACCGATTCCTTATAAGCTGCAAGACATCAACTCGGTAATGTAAGAGAAGGGCGTGTTCGCGCTAGTTTGGAGGTAATGAGAAGCGAAGTATTGGACGTCATGTATGCTAGACGCATTTCCTCAGAGATGCTTCTTTTTTGTTGTTGTTCCCAAAGCTCCCAAGCAAACGCACATCTTGAACTCAAAAAACTTCAGAATGCTGGCAACGCGACCGAATTCATGCGTCGCTGAAGTTATCGTCCGCAAGAGTTGAATTGAGATTTACCGGAGCTTGCGAATCTTGCTGAATATTTCAAGTGAGGCCTCTCTCTCTCTCTGTAGTAATGAGCGAAGAGAGCAACATGAGGCACCCGGATGTGCACGAGTGTGCGTGGACGTTTACTTTGTAAGCGACATGGTGCCGCACACACAGAGGATAGGTACCCGTGCCACCCGAAGGCGAACTGACCACTTGTTGCATTAAGGCAGCTCCCAAGAAGTCGCAGGTCTCGCGCGGCATGAGCGGTTTCGCACACTACACGGATCGGCAGCTGCCGAGCAACCCCAAGCGGCCGCCCAAGCGAGATTCTATCGCCTTGAGAGCTCCAAACTGGTTTTTATTACCGCCGGTCCACACGTCCAATTCCGGTTGTCCGTGTCAAGATGATCGTGACGTTGACGGAGGCTTTCCTGTTTGCTCAGCGCTAAGCCATGGAGGTCCTTTGATTATAAACACTGCTGCCGGCCGCCCATCAACGCAGAGTAGGCGTGCGGAAAGGCACACATGCCGATTTCACTCGCTGAGCGGTGTGCAAGACGGTCGTGCTGTTCACAACTGATGCGATTAAATTAGCGCTGTAGCTTAAGCGCTTTATCTCATTGTAACAGACCACAATGTATACTGGCTGTACGCTTGACATCTGACAAGTTGCGAGGCTAGTGTTGGAGTGTGTTTCAAATATATGAAGCGAATCCGCTCAAAGGCTGAGCAGAAGTCGTGCAAATGATTGTTGGTATAGTGCTAAGGGGGCATCGGGGATGCAGTGAGCCTTGGGGGCAGCCTTTGCTTTCACTAGACACTGCAGCTTTCACATCTGTAGTGTTCTTGGTCTTCAGGCCCGATTTGCTTCATAGCAACATTGTCTTTTGCGGAATGTTCAGGGGAAGTAAGTTGGATCTTGAAGAAAGAGTGCCTTGCTACAGCTCACTAGCTCCGTGCTATGCTTTGGATAACTGAAATTCGCCAGAATCTACAACCTCGTGGCTGCTCTTTGACGCTCCATTGAGCTTTCGGCCATATAATTGTTCTGAGTGTGAAGTAACTTCAGCGAGTCGCGCACTTAGGTTCGGCTGGGTGGGCAGTGTTCTACGAAGGGAACCTTGGTTGTCACGAGGACATACTATAACAGATCATCATCTGCCATCGTCCGCCCTTATTTTGGCAATAAACGACAAAAATCGCGTGGCACTAAGAATGATGTATGGGAGGGCGTTTGATGAAGAAAAACAAATGCCTGCAACGTAGGCTCTGCAAGACCGGAGCTCTGGGTCACAAGAGCACTGCACCACTATTTGAAGACGACTAAGCTCTGCGATATTGCGTATTGCGTGGGGAACGTGGTTGTGTGTGTGTGTGTGTGTGTGTGTGTGTGTGTGTGTGTGTGTGTGTGCGCACACACGCACGCACACACACACACACACACCCACACACACACACACACACACACACACACACACACAATATTTTTTTCTCCTGTTCTCCTTTTTCCTCTTGATGCACTCTTTCGCCTCCGCCATCGGTGAATAGCAGCCAGGTACAAGCAAGCTAAACTCCCGTTGCCTTTTCATTCACTATACACCCGTTGACGAGCCAAGCGATATGTATAAAATTTAGACCTTCTCGAATCGGGTTGTATCGTTTCGATGCGATCTCAAATCGTAGCCTACTTTGAATTAGCCGCTTATTCCACTAGTAAACTTGGCATCCAGAGCCCTGTTAGGCAGGCACTTGTCCATTAGCGTACGCAGAGACTGTGGCTGCCTTGTCGTACGGCAGACTGGCCATGAGTCAGTATACGCCAGACTACGAGAGTTTCAGCCTTGACTTTGCGCGAGACTGTCTGCAGCCCGAGAGTGCCACTGGAGTCACTTCTGTCGTGCTGCCTTGCTCTTGCCTTGTCCATCTGTTCCGGCTGACTCTTTGTTTGGTTTGAGGGTCGAGTTTCTTTAAAACAAGTTTCCAGACGTGATGAGCCGTAGCCTAGGAATGCGGCTGAGAGACACCCAGGGGCTTCGCCTATCTTTGAAAAATAAACATTCGGACGTCGTCGTTGAGCTTGAGGGAGGAAAAAAAAAGAGCTGCTGTGCGTTGGTGGTGATTCCTTTGAATAGGGGGCTTCGCGTCGGTCTCTGTGTTCGCTGTGCGGACCGTGACAAATGGTGCGACGTATCTGCCTCCAGATTGTTGCCTGAGAGCCCTAAAGCTGTTGTGTTCCGAGTCCCCACGTGTCCCGGTGCTGGCCCAGCGGGAGCGGCCCGGTACGAGCACTTCCCCGATCAGATAAGGGTCCTACCTTCCCCGCTTCCAATGACTCTGCTTGGGGATGCAAATCGACATAAAGCGTAATTGGAGTTATACCATTAGAGGAGCCATTAAGATGGGCCACCCACAAATGACCGGTCGTCAGCCATCTCATGTACAAGAACTCTTGGTCCGTTCATGTTACCTCTCCACGTTGGCATGCGCAAGAGCGCCCGACGTGGTTCCAAGTCCCTACAACTAAGTGGTTCTAAGAGAGAAAGGAAGACAAAAGTGAGCCCCGTAACTGTCTGCTTCAGCGAGCGACACCTCAACAGTAGCTCACATGGGATGGGGGTGAGGAGGAATTAAAAGGATAGGAATGAAGGTGTAGAGAGAGAGAAAGAAGCATGAGGTGGTAAGTCAGAGAGCGACGACATATATCGAGGGGATAGGAGAGATAGGAAAGATGAAAACACGGTCACAGGAGTCCTAGGACGGGGCACCTCTTGCGAGAGCTCTTGTCGGCGTCAGGAGGTGGCGTAGAGCAAGTCCAGTCGGTCATAGACTGTCGTCGGAGGTCGGCGTCAGGAGAAGACGTAGGGTGAGCCCAGTCGGCCAGAGCTATGCTGACGTCGGAAATCGCGAGGGCATAACCGGTCGGCACGGTATCCAGCGAGCGAGTCCCCAGCAAACACGCTGCCTCTTGATGTAGCTTTTGTCTTACAGTTCGGTTACTTCACTAGCATGCAACGGTCATTCCACCTCGAGAGCTTCCCGCCTTTTTAGCGATAATCTGCGGTCATGGGATCTGCGACGCTTCACTGACATCTTGGAATCACTGGTTTCATTCCTTATTGTCAATGTGACAAAGCTTAGCCCACGGTTTTCCATTCTTTGCACTGTGTTCAAAGAGGGAGGTAAAAGGTAAATTTCATAGAAACCTTGAACCTGGTCATACCCCGATGTTTGGCCGCTGTGGTAGCTCAGTGGTTAGAGCATCGAACGTGTTATTCGAAGGTCGTAGGTTCGATTCCTGCTCACGGCTCCCATTCCTGCACCGCCGCGGAGGTCTAGTGGCTAAAGTACTCGGCTGCTGACCCGCAGGTCGCGGGTTCGAATCCCGGCTTGGCGGCTGCATTTCCGATGGAGGCGGAAATGTTGTAGGCCCGTGTGCTCAGATTTGGGTGCACGTTAAAGAACACCAGGTGGTCGAAATTTCCGGAGCCCTCCACTACGGCGTCTCTCATAATCATATGGTGGTTTTGGGACGTTAAACCTCACATATCAATCAACCCCGATGTTTGTACGCTGAGTCATCGCGCAAAGATGTGCGCAGTGGCGTGCCATACCCATCCGCAAAAGCGCTGTTTTATTACCATAAAACATTTCAACTAATTCGATCCGGGCTCGCTGGGGCAGACTCTGGTCTTTCAAAATTATTTCGTCATCCACACTAATGTTGCGTTGTGTGTCAGACGCGCGGACCACACAAAGCCACACTTTCGACTTTCGATGGCGCACAGAAAAGGGAGCGGGGCGCTGATGCTCATAGTGCGTAGAGTATAGAAGGGCACAAGCACTACCGCAGATCACCATAACCCTTATTTGAAGTGCTTGTCGTTCTATATGCTTTCTATATGCGTTTTATATGCTCTTTTTGCAGTCCGGTGTCATAACTGAGTCAAGAATCTACTGCCATGTGAATTGCAAGAATCCTCGGAATCCGCCAGAAGGACACTGCTGCCCTTACTGCGAAGGTATGTTGTTGTTGTTGTCATCGTCGTTGTTCTTTTTTTTTTGCATAAAGGGTCTCATTGTGGCATAACATCGTTCACCACTTTGATAGACTTCTGCGTAGTTGGAGGTCATTTCTGTAATTAGTATGCTACATTTATAGTCGAGAAGTATACGTGTATAACCAAAAATACTGCACCGAACAAAAGCGCTCGAAATGTGTGACAGATCAGGATTAGGATAGCTGAACTAAGTGATCCCTTGAATCGACTCAACAGACAACTATTTACGATTGGAAAAGTACTTGGACCGTGGCCAAATCCCGATAATCGAAAGCGCGCAGTAAGCGCCTTCCGTAATGTTTTAATGGACACAAATTTAATTAACTATATTTAGTTCATAATATACCTTGCCATTATTAATACGGACTGTATCCGCAATGTGATTCCGATATATAAACTGGACTATGACCATGCATACATACTGTGCTCATTCAAGCGTTATGAGCTCTATATAGTGTACATATGTATATAGTGTCTCTGATTATATTCGTCTTCTTTTATTCTTAATTTTTTGTATTTTGTGTTCATCTTGTACATCACTGTCATGATGTTGGTATAGCCGGCTCTAACGTAGCCTACCTATCCATGTTTTGCCAAATATACATAAATAAGGATCGTAACCGTGCTACAGGCGTGGTAACGATCTCCACAGTGCGTGTTCGAGAGACTCCAAACATTTTACTCAGTTAATGAGCCAATTAAGAGGCTATTTCTGAGCTACCAGCACATTTGCAGCTTATCGTATGTAGCATAGAGGCCCGAATGTCGCGTGTTCGATTCCAGCCGCGGCGGTCGCTTTTCGATGGAGGCCAAATAGTAGGAGCCCGTATGCTGCACGTTAAGGAAAACCAGACGGTCAAAATTTCCGGAGCCTTCCACTATCGGGCATACCTCGTAATCGTAACGTGGTTCTGGCAAGCAAAAACCTAGATATTATTATTATCGTATACACTCTACATTTAGTATTCAAGCTATTAGTTTCATAGCATATTCTCTGTTTGTACCGTAAGTTTTGCTCACGCTCATGTGAGTGAGCATGTTTCTCTCAAAGTGTATCCACGGGTTTCTGGTAGTATTATCCCTGCGATAAATGATGTCGATATACCGATAATGTACAGCGACTGCCAGACCGTTGTGCGCAGCTGGCCGGCATGCTTCCTTCGAAGCGTCACCGCGCAATGACTGCGCTGAAGCTCGGTTCCTCAGCGTCGTCCTGCGATGTGTAGAAATACCATCGTATTTATCAAATCCACGCGCGCAATTATCAGTGCAGCCATAAAGTGACGCACGCCCGACCGTATTCATACACAAGCGATTATTTTTGACGCGGGATAAGGCAAGCAGCTGTTGGTATATAGGACACTTCAAACTTGCAACGCCATGACGTCGAGACACGAGGGGAGATTAGAGAGTAACCGAAGACACTGTTTACGACGGGCGAAGTGAAGTAACGTTCAGCGCAGCCCGCGCTTTTGCTTTTCGGTGATTCATCAAGCACTGTTGCGCACCACGTGGCCCACGCGTTTTGCTGAGTTTCTGTGGCTACACTGAAGACTATTTGGTGTCTGGTTATTTACAGCTCCTATGATTCAAATGCTAGCATGTGTGACAAGCAACACAAGAAAAGTAGGTCTTTTGACAGCATACGCTGCTGCTCTCCAACCACATTTGTGCACCACCATTCAGGCCGCTTCAGTGCTAACTAGCAGCACCTGCAACTCGCGTCGCTTGCTGACGTAAGCGAATGATAGAGTGTGTAGTAATTTGCGTACAAGATCACATTCGCTAAAGCTTTCTAACAAAAACTCGAGGACAGACCACCGCCGTGTCTTCCCGTCCTACTAGCATCGTTTGGCTCGCATTATTTCTTATCTCGATTGACGGGATTCAGCATCACCCCTAAATTTACGGCGTTTCGAAAGCTTCGAGGCTACTGGATGACGTTCCTGGCCTAAGGTGAGTCTGTGCGAGTTCTTTAAAGCTTCCCGGTGCTTTGACGTTCCGGAACGTGAACACGAAAGTTTTCTTCGCTATCACTGGTTCGAGCCCGATTCTTGGGCAGACTCACCTTCCCGCAAAAGTCTGTAGAATTCGCACAGCACTTGAGGTTCGCCTAGTCTTCCAACGACGCGCAGAAATGCCGGAGCGTTTAAAGGCCGGCGCCCTTCTACCGAGCACCGAGGCCATGTGACCAATACTACGTGACCTGCGAGCAGAGCGAACCCCTAGCGGCGTCACCGCTGTCCACCGCGATGATCGTGTTTCTCCTCCAGATATCCACAACGCGCCGAAGTGACTCCAGGGCCCGCGGTCTCCCCGAGAAGCAGTCAACAACCGAGGTATTTAGACTTGGACACGCCGCTTCTAAGCCTCGAGCTGACTGCCGCCGCGATACCAGAGCTGACGGACGCCCGCGGCGCTGTGGTCGTGGCGATGGCACGCCGTCCGACGCCGCCTCGCAGGCACTTTAGTATACATCACGACCAAGTTGCGCACGCGGCTGGATACCGGGCGACCGGCGTCGGGGTTATCGGGCTGAATTTATTGGGCGAAGCCGCCGCTTCCATCAGAGCCTCCTCTCAAAGGTCGTACGGCACGTGTCGGCCAATCTCGGAGCGCTGGTACGTGTGGCATAAGGGACTTTCTTCTAAGTCGTGACGCGGATTAGAGATAAAAACGGGGATGCCACGGCGAGTGCATACCTGTTTACACGGCTGCCCCTTCTCTATAGGGAAGCAGTGAGGAGGTTCCGCAATATTAACCCTTAAAGCACTCTGCCATACGGGAGTTAATATTTGCAAGACAATTTCACGGCATCACCCGGTATCATGCTTCGGTTCGACGCTGTATATGATAGGGGAGCAGTGCTGAAATTGCGATAGCAGCTTCAATTTCGAGCTTCATATTGCGATATTTTTTATATCAAGCTCCATCTAAAGAACGTAATCCTTCTGCCAAATTTGACAGACCAACCTTCAAATTTCACGTGAATTCGTCGCCTAAATTTTCTATTGCCAAAAAATATTGCATTCACTCTCGCCGTTTTTATAAACCATAAGGTTATCTTCCGCTTGTGTGATACGACGCGAATGGTTCGACGACAGCTTTTCGAAAGTTCGTGCAATCTAGAGCGGTACTTCCTGCCGATAGCATTCCTCTCCCCTGTGACTATAACCTATGAAGCCTCTTTGAAAACACTTGAAACAGTTCCGAGTTGTGTGGAATTTGCGTTCTCACACACTTAATTCTTGACACATCTGAGAACCTTACTACATACGTCATATGCGCACGCCTTATCGGTCATAGCTATCGATCGCTAAAAATGACATCGGCATTGACCATCCAGAACCAATGCGTACCATAGGCAGGGCATATCGCTGACACAGTAGCGTTGTTGGTTATAGCCGCGCCTGGGAGATTCCTGCATACGATGTGACGCAAAAAAACAAAAACAACAACTCTAAAGTGGGCTTCACCCCAAGAAGTCTCTTATGATGGGGAAGCTAGCTTTGACAGCGCTTTTCGCCGGCTCAGGATATGAGCTCGCCCACTCGTGGGGGGTCGGTCCGTCGTACTGTAGTTAATGAAGAAGACACGTATTTATTTCTTGAACAGCACTGTCATTTGTAAGAGGCTTTGCGCCAGACTTGTGTGCGAGAGTAAATGTGAACAGGCCCTGAGGCTGAACGTGTTACTCGAGAGGACGGTTTCATTATCTTTACAGATGTCTCGCTGACGAAAATCACTTCTGCTATAGCAATGATAGGGACACAGTGCAATCTTCCAACAAAAATGTATTAGGTTGGGACGCACGTACATATATACACAAGCAAATCAAGAAAAGATAAAAACCAAGTAAAAATCAAAAAGTAAAATTTAGAGAAGTGCTGATAAGTCACACGCATGCGCTAACACCGCCCCCTTTCCATGAGTCGCCAAAAACAAACGCTCTTTATCAGAAAGGTGCAAGGAAGACATGCTTACCCATGCGTCTCCAGACCGTTTGATTTCCTCAGCCTCGATGATTTCCCTCACCGTTTGGTCTCGATTACGTACAAGGGCCGCGATGTTTTCAAAGATAGGGCTACACTTGCAGTCCCGCACATGGATGCCGAGGTTCTCCGATACTGTAGTGTAAACGCTGTGATGGTGCTCGCGGAGTAAGTCCTTCAGACAGCGTCCCGTCTGGTGTCAGAGGGATGACGTACACGACGCGTTCAATGCAACGTACGAACTTTCTCAACCTCTCGGATGAGAGAGAAAAGAGGCTGCACCACAGACCGCAAGCGTAAGCCCGTACGATGCTTTGAAGGCGTCGTGTACGGCATCCCTCTGACGTCAGACGGGACGCTGTCTGAATGACACACTCCGCGAGCACCATATACGTGCGTCCAAATCTAATCAACTTTAGTGGGAAGATTGCGCTTGTCCTCGTGCCCTCGCTCGTTTGCTGTCTGCTTTTCGCGCTGCACTACATTATGATATATTTACGAGTGTACAAATGGGGTAGCCTCCAATGACCAAGATCGGGCATCCGGTTGCCTCAGTCAGTCCAAAAGGAGTAGTTGCGAAACCTTAGAACAATACAGTGTGCAGTGCGGCTGTTGAGATTGTGTAGGAGTGATATCACTATTTCTGTGGACGCACTTCATAATCCCCCCCCCTTTTTTTTTTGTCGTAGATGGTACGAATGCTTAGCGATTGATTGATATATGGGCTTTAACGTCCCAAAACCACCATATGATTATGAGAGACGCCGTAGTGGAGGGCTCCGGAAATTTTCACCACCTGGGGTTTTTTACCGTATACCCAAGTTTGAGCACACGGCCCTACGGCATTTTCGCCTCCGTCGAAAAGGCAGCCTCCGCAGCCAGTATTTGATCCCTCGACCTGCGGGTTAGCAACCGAGTACCCTAGCCACTAGACCACCGCGGCGGGGCAGAAATGCTGAGCGCAGGGTG